AGACACTTGGGGACACTGGAAAACATGGGGACACTGAGACACTAGGGGACACTGGGACACATGGGGATGCTGTGAGACATAGGGACATTGGGAGACATTGGGACACAGAGACATGATGTTCCCATGTCCCCCAGCCAGTGTCCCTAGTGTCTCAGTGTCCCCAAGTCTCCCAGTGTCTGTGTCCCATGTCTCTCAGTGTGCCTAGTGTCCCCATGTGTCCCAGTGTCCCTATATGTCCCAGTGTCCCCATGTCTATGTCCACAACTGTCCCCATGTATCCCCAAATGTCTGTCTCCTAACCAGTGTCTCCTAGTCTCCCAGTATCCCCTAGTCTCTGTGTCTGTGTCCCTAGTGTCTTAGGGTCCCCAAATGTTTCAGTGTCCCCATGTCTCCCAGTGCCTGTGTTCCTAGTGTCTCAGTGTGCCTGGTGTCCCCATGTCTCCCAGTGTCCCTATATGTCCCAGTGTCCCCATGTCTATGTCCACAACTGTCCCCATGTCTCCCAGTGTCCCCAAGTGTCTGTCTCCCAGTGTCCCCTAGTCTCACAGTGTCCCCTAGTCTCCCAGTGTCTGTGTTCCCATGTCTCTGTGTCCCTAGTGTCTTAGTGTCCCCAAATGTTTCAGTGTCCCAATGTCTCCCAGTGTGTGTCCCTAGTGTCTCAGTGTCCCCATTTCTCCCAGTTTCCCTAAATGTCTCTGTGTCCCCATGTCTCTGTGTCCCTATGTCTCTCAGTGTCCCCAGTATCCTAGTGACATGGGGACACACTGAGACATTGGGACACTGGGAGAAATGGGTACACAGACACTGGGAGACTAGGGGACTGGGCGACATGGGGACACTGACACTGTGATACATAGGGACACTGAGACACTGGGTGACTTGCGAGACTGAGACACTGGGAGACACTGGGAGCAATCCATCTATACAGCAGAATCAAACTGTGAGTAGTTTGTTGGTGATTTTACAGAATTTTCTCTGCTGTCACATGTCTCATGTGATGTCACGCATAACTAATTAATTATACAAATGATTAAGGCTGGTATTTTTTTCCAAGAAAGGTGGCAACCTTAACTACTCTTCACACATTCTTGCTTAAAGGAGCACTATAGGGTCAGTAACACAATCATGTATTTCTGACCCTATTATGTTAAAACCACCACCCTGGCCCCTTCTTGCCTCCCTAAATATAGTAAAATATTACTTGTATTCAAGTCTGCAGCTGCTGGCTCAGAAGTGGTGGTCTGAGCAAATTACAATACTTCCCCATAGGATTGGCTGAGACTGTCAACTAAGCAGATCAGGGGCAGAGCCAGCACAAGTCCAACATAGCCCTGGCCAATCAGCATCTCCTCATAAAGATACATTGAATCAATGCATCTCTATGAGGAAAGTTCAGTGTCTGCATGCAGAGGGTGGAGACACTGAATGGCAGTGCTGCAGACTAGGCAGTACTGCCCCAGGAAGCACCTCTAGCAGCCATCTAAGGAGCGGCCAGTGGAGTTATTTTCTCTGAAAAGACAGTGTTTACTGCAAAAAGCCTGAATGGAATGCTTCTACTTACCAGAACAAATACAATAAGCTGTAGTTGTTCTGGTGACTATAGTGTCCCTTTAAGTTTGGAAGCTTAAGAGGGATGTATGGGAACAAAACTTGTGTGCACTGGCTTTCTGGCATTCATGCCAGGCTGACCTTCCAATTCTTTGGACAAACATGCCCCCTTTTTGGCAGGTCTTGTCACGTGATTCGCACCATTGGCACACCCTTTTACCCCACCCATTGACTTCCTGCTTCACTGGACACTGCTGTTAGGGGTTATGGATTGACTTGAAAGATGAAAGCATAAATTAGAGAAAGATTAGCATAGAGTATAGCTGCATTCTATGAGTTTCCCTCCAGCACCATCTCCATCAGATACATGACGCTTGGGAGGTATGACTGTTTTAGTGTTTTTGGTGGATAAGATTCCGTAATTAGACCCATCATAATTGTCAGCACCAGGCCCACTGTGCTCTTAATCCGGCCCTGTTGGACGCTGTGTGGTACGTGGTTGGAAATACCAGGCATGGATTATTTTTGGTATTCTGTCGTGGCAACACCACTGGCTAAGGATGATGAGAGTTAAAGTTCTGTTTGTAATCATGGTAACCTCAAATCATGCATACTGGATATTGCCAGGCAAATAGTTGGAACACAAACACTCCCCTCCCCCCTTCCATCTGAGCCCCAATTATGCAGATACAAGGGCAGAGTGGGAGACAGCCGTGGCCAGCTGTGCTACATCCGGACACTGATTCAGTAAATACACTCCAGTGGTGCATATTTAATTTAATTTGAGTGTTCAGTTTGTTTTGGAGGGATCTGGGGTATATATTCTCTTGTCTGCACATTTGTTACATGTTACCTGTCCTGATGAAAGCTCCATGTTGGAGCTGAAACGTTGATATTTTATATGGAATAAATAAAAGCTAGTTTTTACTACTTCAACCAAGTCCCAGGAGTGCGATTGTTTCTACACCCATATATATATATATATATATATATATATATATGTTACATCAAATTAAAACCCTTTCTGTCCTTTAAAAAACGGTATATAATATGTGGCGGTGCAATAAATTAGTAAAATGCAAATTGCAGTTGAACGCAAACAACAAAAAATGCTGTTGTCATTAAGTGCAAGACAACCCTTAAGGGGTTAAATACAATTATGTTTGGCTAATTATTGCATTCATCAAGACCCCATGTAAGACTGGTGATTGTGATCGCTGATCATGTCCTACAGTCTCACTGCTCCATTCTCTGCCATTTAGGAGGTAAATCACTGTTGTTTCTGTTTATGTAGCCCTAGCCACACCTCCCCTAGCTGTGACTCACACAGCATGCATGACATTTTTCTTTCAATCAGATATGACAGCACAGTATGTTGACTTTAGAAGTTTTCATCTTCTGCTCTGTTAATTGAACTTTAATCATATAAGGTTATTAACAGAGCACAAGATAGGAAATTTACAATTAATAAGACTGTGCAATAATGGAAATGTAAACAGTAGATCTCTCTTTACATAAGTGTGTAGGTCAAATGCAGGAGAGATAGGATTAGTGCTGCATAAACAAAGTTATTTAACTCCTAAATGGCAGAGAATTAAGCAGTGAGACTGCAGGGACATGATCTATATACCAAAACGACCCTATAACGCTCAAGTTGTTTTGGTGCTTACAGCGTAACTTTAAGAACCTATTAACATTAGTATTTTTCCTATTAACCTTCAAGCAGAGCAGCATTTAGGGTTGCATAGTTTTAAATCAATGTATTGTGTCAGATTAAGTAAATGTCATTTCTTAAATGACTTGCTCTCAAACTGCGTTTTTTGGTTTGCTTTGCATGAATAAATATATTAAATCCCATGTTATCAGAATACATTTCTGTTTACTGTGGGTGGCCTGGATGCAATCTTGCATTGGGAAAGATATATAAATGTGTCTTTAGGAAATAAAAAATATAGTATTTTTGGGGCTGAGCTCTGGAAGGGGATCAGACAGCAATACCATTCTATTGGTTTCCTTGGTGATTGCTCTGCTTTTGTATCTTTGTTTTATAATGACTTTTATAATGGCCTTTGTATGTCTATCCTTTCCTGACTCACTGATCTAGGCAGGGTTGATCCCGGGCAGGTTCCCAGGGTGCACCGCGCCCATAAGCCAGGGAGCCAAGGCACTAATATTCAAATATGTCCCGTCTAGGCCACTACCACCTACGTTTAACCTCTGTTCGTACTCCCACCTCTGATGCTCGCCTTAAAGACTTCTCTAGGGCTGCACTGTTCCTATGGAATGCCCTATCCCCCTCTATAAGACTTTAACCCAGTCTCCACTCCTTCAAAATATCTTTGAAAACTTACTTCTTTAGGAAAGCATATCAATTAAACTGTGAACAGCTTTTCCTCCCCGCACCGATTCCTCTTGTGAAACAGTCATCAAAACAAAACACTAAGCCCTCAAGGAACACTATCATAGTACCCTACTTTTTTGCCCTACCCTTACCTTTTGTGTCACTGTACCCCACTCCCTCTAGAATATAACCGCATTGAGCAGGGCCCTCAATCCCTCTGTTCCTGTGCATCAAATTTGTCTAGTTACAAATACGTGTTTGTTAGTCCACACATTGTACAGTGCTATGGAACTTGTTAGCGCTTTATAAATATTAATAATAATAATAATAATAAGGGAGACCCAGGGACATCAGCAGGCAGAACCGGACTGGCACCCTATGCCACTTAAATTATTAATTTTCCTTGGACTGTGATAGGTGCAGCCACATTAGGGTTGCTGGAAGTCGGAGGGAGCACTGTACGTCTCCCCTCACAATTCCCTGCTGCTATTCTGAGCCTCCTCTCCTCCACCTCCGCACTTAAGCTCCACCCCCACACTCAAGCTCTGCCCCCAGCCTTAAGCAGCTGACCTTGCCCCAGGAAGAGGCCAAAAAAAGATGACTTCACCTCCCAGTCCTCCTACAGCCTTCAGTGCTAGGTAAGCGTCAAATGCACTGCAGCCAATAATGATCTTGTGTGGGCATATGCCTGATAGTGAGTGAGTGTGTATGTGTGTGTGTCATTGAGCTTGTCTGTAGTAAGCAAGTGTGTGTCAGTAAACTTGTCTGTAGTGATCATGTGTGTGTTAGTGAGCTTGTCTGTAGTGAGAATGTTTGTGTGTGCTAGTGAGCTTGTCTGTAGTGAGCATGTGTGTGCCAATGAGCTTGTCTGTAGTGTGCATGTGTGTGTGTCAGCTTGTCTGGCGTCAGTAGTACACTGCATGCCAGGACAGAGCAATGATGAGAACATTAAGACTTTCCACCTGTTCCCACCATCTGACCATCAAATTCATCCCTGAAGTTTGAGGTTCCAATCAATGCACCCTCAGTTGCCCTCATTGTTATTTGAATTCAGGTATAAACACAGTTGCATTGAGGATTAAAAAAATAAAAATAAAATGTTACTTAAATACTCAGATTTAATTAAAGAACCAGCTTTTGCCTTTTTATGCTTTTTTGATTTTTACTTGCTCTGTTCCAAAACGCACAAGTTTTGATAGATAAACTTTAAGTAAAATCCTTGCTGAATCCAAGTCAGTTGTTTACTTGCATCCAATGTAAATGTTTTTATTCTAAAAATACATAACATTTAAGAAAATATATAGTGGATCCACATTAAATCCTCACAAAGCAAATTTTCTTATAATGCATAATCATTTTATAGTTTTATCCAGTTTAAAAAAACAGTCCTGTTTACTTGATTCGTTTTTGATATGGAAAGGTTAGACGAACTTCCATTTATTACTCTGAATTATATGCAGAATGCCAGCTATTTAAAACCACTTCATTGCATTTCACCCATTTCCTATTTTATTGCATGTCCCCATCTATAGAACGTTGAAGGATTAGTCATATGCCAAGAGAATGACATTTGTAAAAGAGAAGCAGGTGTCAGGATGTTATATGAATTGCCATTACTGTCAGTCCCCGACATTTGTAGTTAGAGGCAATGCTAGCTTTTTACCCACGAGAGTCACAGAAATAACAAGTCCCTTCTCGGTTACACTCATGCTAAAGCGTTTGCAAACAAAAGTGCCCTTTTGACATGCTTATGAAAGAACAAGCGTCCCTTACATGTGAATACATTGATTCATTGTGCATTACGTTGAAATTAATAGTCTTGTATGGACTGACAAACAGTTCAGTAGTTGAGTTAAACGCCACCAAATAAAGCTTCTGTCCTCCTGTAATAAAATGAAAATGAATCATGAAATATAGACAAGTACAAGAAATAGGTTTTTTTTGTGTCTGATCAGTTAAAATAATCATTTCCATGCTTGAGAGTATAAGTATGTTGATTCTCCAGACGTTTCATGAAAGTCCATTGTCCACTTGCTTTTCAGAATGGTTTTGCAGAGGTTGCAAGCAGATGCATACATACCTGGGGTGTTAGCTCATTATTTTACTCCAACAGCGATAGCATGCTAAATCCACGGGAGGCAGTTTTAATGTCTTGCAGCAGCCTGATACTCCTGCCAGGCGTATGCCCATAAAGGAAAAAAAAGAAAAAAGGATGACGGGGGAATCAAACATCCTGCCACCACGTTAGTCTTTAATGCTTTGATTCTGTTGTGCAGCTGTGATAACATATATTACAGCCTGTGCGACTGTGTACGGTGGTCCAAGCTAAATTTCTTAATTGACCTATATTTTTTTTGCTCCCCTATCAGTGATGGCAGGGACTGCTGTAACAGAATGATAATTCTCTCCTGCCATTCCATCGACAAGAAGCAGAGCTTGACAGAAACGGAGTCAGGGAACACGCTGCATTTTAATCATGGATGTAAAAAAAAACAGTCTGGGCTCTGAAGCTTGGTTCACACCTCCTCTGATTTGCATGGTTCCTGATGAACTATTTCACACTTGGATTATGCTCTGCGAGAAAGATTAAAACAGGGAAAGAGAGGGGGGGGATGGGAGGGTAATTCAAACTGCCTTTTTACTGGTTGGTCATTTTGCATTTATACTATTTATACATATATAGAGTTACATTGCTGTGTATAAAGAAATGCCCACCAAGTGTAAAAGACAATTCATTTGCCCATAGACTTTGCAATTATTTATGAATGGCTCGGGATGTCATTTCAGAGGAATTATTGTGTCCCTATAAATGTAGGGAGATGCTCTTATTAAAATAAATGTTTCAACTTTATCCCAAGATATTTTTATTATTATTTTGGAGATACGTGAGATGCAGTTGAAACTGAGCCCGAAGAGAAGCTTATAATCTGGCTGCATGTTTAAAGTGCATTAAAAATGAATCGACATTTATAAAGTCATTTGGGTCACTAGAATATTTTGTAAAGCTCCAATCTATCTAGGGCTATAATCTATATTGTTTATCATATATCATATGATATATATATATATATATATATATATATATATATATGCAATACATGCAATCAGGGCTGCCATCAGAAATGTTGGGGCCCCTGACACAGTTCAAAGTGTGGGCCGCCCCCGAGTCTGCCCCCGGGGCCAATTCTGAGTCCACCCACATGGATGCCCTGTCTGTGTGGTGTGTAAAATGGATACAGATTGCACATTTGTATAATATATGTAGTTTTGTGTGTTTTAGATAAAGTGTATGTTTGTGTAGTGAATGCAGAGTGTGTTTTGTGTTGTGGTTTTAGTGTGTGTATGGTGAATGCAGTGTGTGTTTGTGTTGCGGTTTTAGTGTGTGTGTGTGGTGAATGCAGTGTGTGTGTTGTAGTTTTAGTGTGTGTATGGTGTATGCAGTGCGTATTTGTGTTGTGGTTTTAGTGTGTGTACGGTGAATGCAGTGTGTGTTTATGTTGTAGTTTTAGTGTGTATGGTGTATGCAGTGTGTGTTTGTGTTGTAGTTTTAGTGTGTGTATGGTGTATGCAGGGTGTGTTTGTGTTCCATTTGCTACCTGTATCCTGTATGCTGAATCCTGACTACCAGCGGAGATATCGTGCATTAACCCTTGCTACTCCGCTACAACAGATGACTGTCCACCTTCCTGCCCCCCACCAATGGCTTGCCAGGGTGGACATTGTTAAATAGCGTGAACAATGTCTGGATTTTGCAGTCTGGATGGCCCTGTATGCAGCTTATTTGTGTTCGGAGCCATTTCAGTAATGAAATTAAATAGAGATTAAGTCACCTACCTTTAATGAGCAAAGTCGATTGAGGTGTGCCGATACCGATGTATGTGGTAGGCCTGTAAATAAAGTGGGCCTACCTTAGATAAAGTTGAATAGAGGAAGAGAAGGGGGGGAGTCCCTTTTAAAGGTTCATAGCCCCTCCCACAACTTTCGGCCAAGCCTTCCAATTTGTGTTCGGGGCCATTTCAGTAATGAAATGAAATAGAGATTAAGTCATTTCCCTTTAATAAGCAAAGTCGGTTGAGGTGTGCCGATACCGACTTATGTGGTAGCCCTGTAATAAAGTGGGCAAAAAGAATACCAATCTTGCTCAAAAGATATTTATTACGAAACCACATGACATAATACAAACTATCTATGAGGACATCTTAACAAATGCCCTTCTTATTTCCTATATCGGTTGAGGTATATAAACAGCATATCAACAACAGTATAGAATGGGGAGCGAACCTGGTCACCTATAAGCGGTACATAGATGACATATTTTTTATTTGGAATGGTTCAGAAACTCTTTTAAATACTTTTTTAACCTCTCTAAATATTAATGACTGGGGAGTCAAATTAACTACGGAATACAGCACCAACAGTGTAAATTTTTTAGATCTTACAATTTTTATAGAAGATGACCATATAAAAACCAAAACTTTTTTTAAATCTGTAGACGTGAACAACTATATTTTTTTAAATAGTTGCCATTTCTCTCCCTGGCTTAAGAACATTCCGAAAGCCCAATTAATGAGAATTCGTAGAAACTGCACTGACACAAGCACTTTTGAAATTTAAGCCACTAGGGTTAAGAACCAATTTGTGGAAAAGGGTTATGAAGACAATCTGTTAGTGAATACTGTAAAAGAGGTAGAAAGCATGGAAAGATCCTCCCTTTTGAAATATAAATCTAAGGCGAGAAATGAGCATAATATGTTGCCATTTATCTCTAATTTCAATCAGGAAAGCCATAAAATAAAAAAGATAGTGAACAAACATTGGCCCATGCTAAGAAATGACCCCATGCTGTATTCTATATTACCAGAAAGACCAAGATTTGTATACAGGGGAGCGACAAATTTGAGACAAAAGCTAGTACATAATCATATTAAAGAAGAATCAATCACACCTTTTTTTCAGAATAAAGGTTTTTTTGGCTGCGGACAATGCTTAGCTTGTAGGAACACAAAAAGCAAAAAAAGACATATCAGGGAGTTCCATGATTCAGCAAGAGGAAAGAAACACACAATAAAGGAAATGATTACTTGTTTTTCCAAAAGGGTGATATATCTTTTAAAATGCCCCTGTGATCTTTTATATGTGGGCAGAACGAAACGCCCATTGAATGTGAGAATAAATGAGCATATACGGAACATTAAGAAGGGCTACGATAAACATAGTGTTTCAGACCATTTTAGATTAATACATGACAAAGATCACAATTTTTAGATTTTTATGCTATCCAAAAAGTCACCTTAAATTGGCGAGGGGAGGACGAAATAAGAAAATTAGGTCAATTAGAAACAAAATGGATATTTAATTTAAACACTCTAACCCCCCAAGGCTTGAATGCAGATTTCGAATTATGTCATTTTTTATAATTATTATTCTTCAAAAATTATTATTTTTTAGATGTTTGGTCTATTAATTAAAATTTATTTATCTTTTAATTAATTTATTTCATATAAAAAACATACTATTTTATAATTCTAAACATCATAATTAATAATACATATTACTGTTGTAGGACCTAAGAAATATACCAAATAGGGATCTGCACACCAATAAGTTGTAAATGACTATAAGAATAAATTATTACTCAATTATAGAACCATATAAATATTCCAGGCAATATATATTTTCAACACTGGAATTATATAAAGTTCTTCAATACATCAAAATATAATACTGATTAGATATTTTGCTGTATATACAATGTCATTTTCTATTGTCTTTACTGTTTCTATTTTTTTTCCTTTATGTTATGAATCATATCACTGATGTGTTTATTTTCTAAATGTACTCGGAATGTATCTTCAGAGAAAAGGGGCAACAGTGAAACAAATACTACTATTAGGAACTGAGATTTAGGTGCAGTGCACCATGGGACGTGTAGTTCACGAAACCGGAAGTGACGCGACAGCATTTTTGCCCGCGAAAACCGGAAGTGACGCCAGTAAACCCAAAGCAGGATGGGACTTGTAGGATTAAAGGGCGGAAGTGACGTGACGCCACACTGGAGACACTGGACGCAATTAAACCAACGAACAGAGGAATTTTCTGGCGGGAAATTTGAAGGTATAAAAAGGAGACTGGATGCACAATATTGTTTGAAGCTGACTGAGGAAGCCGTTCTGATCGGTGAAACGCGTTTTGGCTAACTAGGTGGACCTGTAAAGAGACCACCCAATATATTTATATTTTATGTAATTGTTTTTATTGTTTTCTAGTATCATGTATACATTTTTATAGTTTTCAAAATAAATATATACATTTTATTTACTATTCAATCATACTCTGCGCAAGTGATTCCAAGAAGGGGGCAGTGTCATCCCTATTAATTTGACACTAGGCTAAAATACTTAGAGCCGGTAACCAGAGGCTCTAAAGAAGGTGAGCACTTTTGTATTTTATTTACATTGATCTACATCAGAATCTAAAATACTACATTTAGATTGGGGATATCTGTGTCTCTTTTCTATGCAACGTGGAGAGAAATTTACGTCCTTTTTCATCTTGGGAGACGGGTCGTGTGATCTACCCCTAAAAAAGACACAGACACCTGGAAGTTTAGAGCCTTATAACTGGAAAAGGCTCTAAAAAATGTGAGTTCATTTCAATTCATCATTTACAACTAAAAGACTTTATACAATATTCATTTAATATACTACACTATTATTTGTATTTTTTATGTTCTTTTTTCTTGGTATACCATTAAGAAAACTAAAGCACAATATATAGGGTAAGTGCGTGTTCTAGCACTATTCCTTCACTGAAATTTTCACTTTATATTCAGCGCTACACTCATGAGAAACTAGGGATTTGGGGGATATATAGTATCTACCTAAATCCAAAGTTCTCTCTCTTTTTTTGGTGTTTATCTATGAATGGTGGGTTATAAGGAGTACCCACGGAGTGTATATAGCAGCTAAAAATCACAAATTCACTTATTATATAGCGCCATCATTCCACATTTTTTTTGTGTGTTCAAATTCTATATAAACAGCAGAAGCTGACGACTTCCAGTGGCCTAAGGTTTTGATCACATGTACTGGAAGGCCTTGGCTTGAGGCAGTGGATGCTGCCCCTATCCTAAATGAGTGCCCCGAATATTTGTTGGTGTTCAAGCTGAGTTGTGTCAACAATAGTCGTATATATACCACGAATTTAGACGTGGTGAGGGTAGCCCCATGAAGTGACAGGAGAGGGAGTGAGGTGTGAGTGGGTACAGAAAGTAGGTATGCATCAAAAACTTTCACCGGGCACCATGAATTGTCAGTGGGGTAGTAATGGATAAGAATGAGTTGACCTCTCTGACTTAGTTGTGGGTAAGCTCAGAATGTAATGGTCTTGTTGCTTGTTAAAGTATGAGGTGCGAAGGCAATTTTGACCATTGTGTTGTCCCCTGATAGTGAACTCTCATG